TGATTATGTTCTCGTCTCATCGTCATTGTTTTATAAGGTGCTACATTTTTCTATTGATACTCGGGTGGAGTCTGACCATTTGCCTTTGACCTTTACTTTGCCATGCTGCAGCAGGCAGAATGAAAAAGTTCAAATCCCTGATAAAGTCGGTACTCTGAAAAAATGTGTCTGGGTGGAACACCGTGCAACTTCTTTCACACAAACTATCTCTTCAGAGGCCACAATAAATAAACTAAATACTAATCTAGAAACTCCAGATATTGAAAACACAGTCTGTGCAAAGATAATCCGTAGTGTGTTAAAGGACGCAGCTGGGAAATGTCACATGATTAGATCGAATAAAAGTACTAAGCGTGATCAGCCAAAATGGTTTGATACAGAATGCACTTCATATAAAAAGAAACAATATAAGCTATTGCGAAGATTCCGCCAAACAAATAATGTACACCATTTACGCGAATACCAGGTTGTTCGCAATGAATTCAAAAATATATGCAGGAACAAAAAACGTGAATACTTAGAAAACCAAAGAGCTAACCTTATGTCACCTCAAACAAGTTCTAAGCTGTTTTGGTCAACAATTAGACGCAATAGTACAATAAGTAATAATATCCCACCTGCCATACAAGCAAACCAATGGCATGACTACTTTGAAAAACTCTTTTCTTGTGCACCTATAAGTAATGAATTCGTCTATCAGAGCAAACTGTTAAGTTACTTAGAGTCTGTGAATGAATATAGTTATGCAAATGAAATTGACTGGGACATATTAAATGGTCCAATTACTGAAATAGAAATAATTGAGAGCATCAAACGGCTCAAGAATGATAAATCACCAGGACCTGATGGATTGCCTGGCGAGTATTTTAAATCTTCTGTAAATATACTATTGCCATACCTACACGTCTTGTTCAATAAGATCTTTGATTCTGGCGAAATACCAGCTGACTGGTCAAATGCAATCATTATACCTGTATATAAAAGGGGTCGAGGGTTGATCCAGGGAGCTATAGGGCAATTTCACTACTTGATATTTTTGGGAAAATTTTTACGTCAATTCTTAATGTACGTTAAAAACTTTTGGGCAGATGCTTTGGGGAAAATAAACGAAGAACAGGCGGGTTTTCGTCATAGATACTCTACAACTGACAACATATTTATCCTTCAGGCAATTGTTCAAAAATATATAACCAGAAAACGGGGAATATTATACTGCGCTTTCGTGGATTTCTCCAAAGCATTTGATAATGTAGAGAGACAACGTCTTTGGTATGTCCTACTTAAAGGGGGTGTAAATGGAAAGATGTTTAAGGTATTACATAATATCTATGCATATGTTAAATCATGTGTCACAACTTTAACCGGATATACTGAATACTTTCAGTGTCCTATGGGTGTTCGCCAGGGTTGTATGTTAAGCCCATTTCTGTTCTCCTTCTTTATCAATGAATTATGTAATGAGCTGAATAATTCGGAGCACCACGGTGTTCAATTATCTCCTGATTTAATTGAATTATTCTGTCTTCTATTTGCGGATGACGTTGCAATTGTATCAGATTCAGTTGTCGGACTCCAGAGGTTATTAGATAAACTAGAATTGTATTGTGAGCGCTGGAGTATGTCTGTAAACTTGGAAAAGACCAAAATTATTGTTTTCAAGGGCGGGGGACATTTATCAAGGAAAGAAAAGTGGGTTTATGGAGGGATGGAGGTCCACACCGTCTCATACTACAAATATCTTGGTATTATGTTCTCCTGTAGACTACACTAGTCAATGGCAACAAAACTATTGGCGCAACAAGCGAAAAAAAACTTTATTTTGTTCATTTAAAGCTTTGAATTGCTTACGCCCTCTATCCTACATAACCTATTTTAAGGTCTTTGATACAATGATATTACCAATACTAACGTATGGGTCGGAAATCTGGGGTTTTAGAGAGTGTAAATGTCTAGAACGAGTTCAATATCTTGCCTGCAGAATGTTTCTTGGTGTTTCAAATAGATCACCAAATAGTAGTATTCTAGGAGAATGTGGGAGATATCCTATCTATCTGTACTCAGCAAAACGCTGCATTAAATATTGGGCAAAATTAATTTCCATGCCAAATTCAAGGTACCCCAAGAAATGTTACAATATGCTATACAATATCGAAAGGTCGGGAACCAGAACAAAACACACCTGGATCAGTGACATCCAAAATTTACTTTCCATTTGTAATATGAATGATGCTTGGCTTGCACAAGAAGTTGGAAATGTTAATGTTTTTATAAATACATTTGTGGAACGATTCAAACAGTATCTTTCTTTGGTATGGCGGGCTGACTTGTGTACTTTAGACAAGTTAGATACTTACTGCCAATTTAAAACTACCATAGAACCAGAAAGATATTTGTTTTCTGTTCATATTCGTACCCATATGCAATCACTATCTCGGCTACGATGTTCATCACATTGTTTACGAATTGAAAAAGACAGAGGTCATCTTGAAAGAGATCAACGTACGTGCGAGCTTTGCAATACGAATTCAATTGAAAACGAGTTCCATTTTTTATTAGTTTGTAATTTTTATAACCACATTAGATGTCTCTATATCCCACACTACTACTGCACCCCACCAACTGTAAATAAATTTATCGAATTACTGAAAACTCAAAATGATGTACTTCTACAGCGTTTAGCTGCGTTTGTATTTAATGCTATGAAACTTAGGAGGGAAGCCGCTGAAATATTGTAAATAATTTAAATATTTTGTATTTACTGTTTTGGGCCGATGGCCATGTATCAGTTAATAAAGATTCTACATATAAGTTTCAAAGATAAATTCAAGACAAAGCAATGTTAGGATGTGTTATCAGTAGCTATCTGACACACAATAAGTGTTTCCAAACATTTGAGTGGTTTGTCTCCGCCCCTGTTTGTTTCACAGATTAGTCATTTGCATATGAATGTGTCAGAGACAAGGTCACACAGCCACTGAAAACAAATCATTGATTTTGGTGTTTTCATATGCCGAATTTATCCAATTATAGCTATCCCATTACTTTATTTTTTTGGTTTCCAATAGCCTTACACATTTGGATGTCCCTACACATGTTAAAGCAGACATTGATGGGAAAACAAATTGATTGTGCCGATAAACAAGCTTGAAAATTGTTGCTGTTACTTCATGGACGTTTTCTAGGAGTTTATGTTTTTCAAAATACAAGGTCTTTAACAAAAAATAACTTATACTTATTGTCGTCGGATTAAGACCAAATTTTCACAGCTTTACGGTGACAGTGAGAGGAACTTGAATGTGTCCAGACAAACTATTTCATCGATTATTTACCAACGAGTTGTAGTTTGAGTTGGGGGCAATGCGACTTAAACAGTAATTGAAATTCAGCACACTATTTTTTAAAACGCATGCTTGCATAAAACTGACAGA